TTGCATTGGATACTTACAGCTGCTTCTAAAACAATGGACAATTTAAAGGAAATACTAATAAAAGTATTAGCATGTGGCTCAGAAGAGGCAAAGGCAAGGGCCATTAAATAGTACAACTTTTAAGATGTGAAGGTTTGCTAAAGACTACAAACATCCAAGGCTTTATCAGATAAGTTAAGCATTGGGAGTTTTGAATAAGGCAGACAAAAGCTGTACTGGGGCACAAAGCTGACTAGCTAGCCAGCTGTAGCAAGGCTCCCACTCCTTTATCTACCTCTGTTTCTGTGTGAATAGATGGGAAAAATTATGCTGATTTTCTCTCGCTCAGTGTTTACAAATCCTTCATTAAATGTTCCACAATTAAAAATTGTATAACATAGTACTTCTGAAACACAGACTAGGAATACAATAGAACTGTAAAACAACAGGCAGAAAATGGAAATATTTTTCCCAAAGTTCCCAAATTTTATATGAAAAGTGTTATGGGATTCCTATCCAAATGGGACTTAATGTTAAGTAGCTCCAGTAAACCACATGGTATTCAATTTACCTTCAGTGCTTTAAAAAAACAAAGAATGATCAGTCCTGGGAGAAGTCAGATCTGTGGTTCCAGAGATACAGTCACAGCCCAAAACCACTAAACAGTTCCTCCTGGCTTAAAATGGACTTCTGCATATGGCGAGGTGCCATTCAATCCCCCTGCATTATTAAAGTGTTAAAAAAGAATACACTTTGAACTCTTTTCCAGCCAATTTTTGTGATCCTTTTAAACATAGCCTATTAGAGCACAATTGAACTTTCTCTATATCTGTCCATACCAGGGTAGAATACAGATTTGATTCACTTCAGGGGAAAAAACAAAAAGGATGGACTAAAGAAATATAGATTGATACTTTCTAAATAAATATTCAAATATCCTTAGACAAACATTTACACCAAATGCATTACAGTTGCTGCAGCTCTGTTGAGTTGGTGTGGCAGGATGGGTTGATGCAGGGAGAGCAGCCTACCTCAGCTTCGGCAAGGCTTTTGACAGTGTCTCCCACAACATCCTTGTAGGTAACCTCAGGAAATGTGGCTTGAATGGACAGAGGAGGTGGATCAAGAACTGGCTGAATGGCAGAGCTCAGAAGGTCATGACAGTGGAATAGAATCCAGTTGGAGGCCTGTAGTCAGTGGTGTTTCCCAGGGATCACTACTGGGTCCAATCTCACTCAGCTTTTTCGTCAAAAGCCTGGATGAAGTAATAGAATGTACCCTAAATAAGGCTGCTGATGATACAAAACTGGGGGGAGCAGCTGGTACACCTGAAAGCTGTGTTGCCTCAGTAGGACCTTGGTAGGCTGGAGAATTGGGCGTAGAGAAACCTAATGCGGTTCAACAAGGGCAAATGTAGTGTCCTGCACCTGGGGAGGAATAACCCCAAATATTACAGGTTGTGGGGGCAAGTCTATTAAAGGACAGCTCTGCAGAGAGGGACCCAGGAGTCTTGGTGGGTGACAAGTTGACCATGAGCCAGCAGTGTGCCCTTGTGGTCAAGGGGCAAATGGTATACTGGGGTACATTGGGAAGAGTGGGGCAGCAAGTTGAGGGAGGTGATCCTCTCCCCTCTAGTCGGCCTTAGTGAGAACTCATCTGGAGTGCTGTGTCCAGTTCTGTGCTTCTTAGTACAAGAAAGATAGGGAGGTACTGGAGAGGGTCCAGCAGAGGTCACAGAGATGATGAGGAATCTGGAGCATCTCCCTTATGAGGAGAGACTGCGAAAGCTGGACCTGTTTAGTCTAGAGAAGACTGAGAGGGGATCTCATTAATGCATATAATTATCTCAAGGGTGGGTGCCAAGAGGATGGTGCCAGACTCTTTTCAGCGGCACACAGAAACAGGAGGAGGAGCAATAGACACAAACTAAAACACGAGAAATTTCATCTCCACATGAGGAAAAATTTATTTACATTGAGGGAAGCAGAACACTGGAACAGGCTTCCCAGGGAAGTTGTGGCATCTCCTTCTCTGGAGACATTCAAAACCCACCAGGATGAGTTTCTCTGTCACCTACTCTAGGTGGCCCTGCCTTGGCAGGCCAGCTGGACTGGATGATCTCCAGAGGTCCCTTCAACCCCTAACAGATCCATGATTCTGTGAGTTTCTTAGCCAGTGATTGCAATATTGACTGTAGCTCTTCCTTTGACACTTTACTCACGATCTCCAAACATTTTTAAACAAATTATGCATGTTTCAGTGGGCTATTTTGTTTCATCCCACTCTATTGGGAAAAGTGAGATATCAAGTCTGAGCCAGCTGAAACTTCGAATGTCAGTGAGAACGTTATACTTGCATTTCATTAGCCATATAAAGGATTTTGTGTCTTATAATTTGCAGAGGGCAATGCATCTCTTCTCCATCAGCCTGGCTCTGCGAAGCACTGTCCTTCTTCTAACTCTATGCAGGTGCAAAGGTATGAATGCTGGTTCCTTACAGGAACGTATCTGTTTGTGTCATAATGGCATAAATTAAGGCCTGTTGTCCACACATGAATCTTCTCTATGCTCACAGACGCCTTTTATTACCATAGGCTATCCAGCTCCGATTTCTATTCTGAAGAACCGCATCACCCAATTAAACTGAAGACCTTCACATGACTGGTGAATATTCATATATAACCACAAAAATAGCAAACAATGAACCAGCAGGCAGAACCAATAAACTAAGAGTCCCCTTGTCTCTTTCGAAGCAGAATCCAAGTAGTCCCAGTGATTTTAATGAGATTACATTCTGCAAACAGAAATAATGGCAGATTGTTTCATAATGGTAAAAGTCACAAACAGCAACAGAGGACTATTTATTTCTGATTGATGTAATTTAACTGAAACACTTAGAACTTACATTACAAGAAAAGAAAACCAAAAAGACAAACAACTTTTTTCAACAATATTTCAAATCAATTCCTGCCACACAAATTTATAGCTTGCTAACTTCAATTGCTTAAGCCACTTGCAGGCCAAAAGTGAAAATTTACGTCAAACATTACTGGTTTATTTTCACTGAGTTATAGGACAACTATTTAGTCATTACACATTGCCAGGAATATTGTCCAAATCAGATCTTGAAGAAGTTCAACATGTTCTTTTGTGTGCAGCTTCAAAAGTAAGGAAAAATTACAGGGATAAAAATGACAGAAAAAGGCTTGAGCACAGACAAAACAGTGAAAAAAAAAATATACTTCAATTTCTAGAAATGCAAAGCAGGGGAAACTGAGCTTTTCAAGACTATTGTCAGGGAGCAAGATTACTAACATTTATCAGCAGCTAAATGCTCTGAAGTGTCACTCCCTGATGCCTAACATTTTGTCTGAGTGCTGAGCAGACTAATCCAAAAGCCCATACAACATCCATTCGCATGTCAAGTGGAACCTTTTGAGTCAAAATATGTCTTACCTAGATGGATAGTTAAAACAACTGATAAAATACATTCTGTAGTATCAGGAGCTCAGTGAAAGAAACCTGTTTTTCACATTGGAAAAGTGGGTCATGGATGCAAGTACAAATCAATAATAGGTGAATGGATGCATGAGAAGTATCAACTTTTTATAATTCTTTTTAAGGAAAGAAAAGGTGTTAGGAAAAAAAATTATTTAATTTTGCACTTGACAGCACCTTGTCAGGTTAGCTTAATTATTTATTATTTCCAATTAGGTTCTCTCTTTCCTGTCTGTATTCAGTGAGTCTCTGAACACAGAATGATCCAGGGTGGAAGAAGCCTCCAGAGATCTTAAGTCAAACCTCCTTTGTGAAGCAGGCCCAGCTGGAGCAGGTTGCTCAGGATCCTGCCCAGATATGTTCTTAATGTTTGTTGGTTTGATTATCTATTTTGAATATTTATTTGATGCAGCAAAATGTGAAAGAAAACACTTTAAAATAGGTCCAGGTTATAAAACCAGAGAATTGGCAGCAAACCTGAGTGGCGCATCCAATACCTGTATCAGCCGGAACTTTACAAAATAAGTATGCATATGTCTAGACTTCCAGCTGTCCTTGGCCATTTTGCCTGAACAAACTGTAAAAAATTCTATTCTCGGGGGAGATTTCCTAGAACAAGAAGTTACATTATTTTTTTTCAGTGTGGAGCAAAACACTCATTTCTCTTTTCCAGCCAAGTAAATTTCTTGCAAGAATATTGGGTTTTTCCATGTTTTATAAGAGTACAGAAAACCAGATGTTATAGTTGAATGTAATTGTGTTTAGTCCTAGAACAATAGCTTGAAAAATGTAACTGCCATTCATAACAATGATTATGAGCCCCACTTCTGGTGAGAGGTATAGCACAAATATTGTTAAAGTCTCAGCTAGGAATCCTCTAGTTTAAAATTCCTGTTGGAGTACAGCCAGGCTTGTCACTTCCCCCTCTCTGCCAACCCCCCCCCCAAATTGCTTCTTTAGGCCGAGTGTACTTAAACAGACATTATCTTTTCAGATGTCCTGGCGATATTGAAATTGATCCTAGTGACTAAATTCCCTTCAGTTCAACACAGGCAAGATTTCAGCATATATGTTTATAAAACATTTCTTCACAGTACCCTCAAAAAATTCCAACCTTTTCCACCTGCCTCTTGAGCCTACCATAATTTTATTACCGTACAACTAACCCTTCATGACACACCTTATAAACCTTCACAGCCACATTCAAAAGCCTTTCAAGATTATTAAAACTTTTTGTTAGTTTCCTAGGAAAACAAGGTTTATACAGCCATGCTGCCTGTTCCTCTGTGTGCTCATCCCATTGTCTTTGAACACATTTTTCAATTTCAGCCAAATCTGATGGAAACTACAGGTCTCACAGGCATTGCATCCACTCGAGGTAATACCCTTGAAGTACAAACACACAGTCCAGTGCTGCTTCCCCCTGGGGCTTTAAACTTAATGGTTCTCTTCATGTGGCTTTACAACCTTGTAGTTTGCCTGAAAAAAGGCATGGTGTGCTCTGTGCCTTACAAGGGCAGTTAAATGGCATGTGACAGGGAGGCACTCTGGGCGTCGTACCTGGGCACAGGTGATTTGGGGAAAACAGCTGCTGTAGGTTCCACGGACTCTGTTATCGGCAGGGTGGCAGCTTGCTATGACAAGAAAAGAATCGTGATGACAGGTGTTTTGGGGCTGTCTGTGCGCTCCCACACGGAAACAAAACGTCCCTGTGGACCTTTCCAGCTTTGGAGCTCCTGCAGAGCCATGCGGGAAGTGCAGCCAGGACCTGGCCACGGGCAACCAGGGACAGGACGAGAGGACAGAGCCTCAAGCTGCGTCACGGGAGGTTTTAGTTGGACATCAGGAGGAATTTCTCCACAGAAAGGATGACTAGACTTTGGAATGGGCTGCCCAGGTAGGTGGTGGATTCACGAGCCCTGAAGGTGTTTAAGGAGCTGGACGTGGCACTTAGTGCCATGATAGAGTTGACAAGGTGGTGCTCAGTCACAGGTTGGACTCGGTGATCCCAGAGGTCTTTTCCAACCTAACTGATTCTGTGATTCCGTGGGTTCACGCTGCCCTCTCTGCGAGAGGAGCGGGGCGGAGGCGCTTGGCCCCGCCCGGGCCGCCGTCGGGGGCGGGCCCGCGCCGCAGTCATGGCGGCGCCCGTGGTGCCGAGGGAGAGCGACACGGTACTGGCGGCTGCGGCTCCCGCGGGCTGCGCTGTTCCCGGGCCGGGCGGACAGGCGGGGAGCGCAGGGCAGGGCGGCGGCAGATTCTCGCCTCGGTTGCTGCGGGCGCGGCAGCGGACAGGTGCCCCTTCTGACCGCCCCCCTGTCCTTCCGGCCGCAGCATTCCCGCAGGGCCGCTGTCGCTGCCTCAACGCCGTGGACTCCGGCCGATTCCCGCCGGCTGCTCTCCCGCCTTGCTCCAGAAGTGCACCTGAAGGTTGGCGGGGCGCGGAAGAGCGGCCTGCGGGGCCGTGTTCCAGCCGGGAGCGGGCGGGAGGGGCGGAGCGGGGCCGGGCCCGGCGGCGCTGGGGCGGCGCGGCTGCGGGCGGAGCCTGATATTTCCTCGATTAGAGGATTTTAGGTCTTGATTTCATTCATCACTAATTTTTGAGAACTATTTCAGGTGGATTAAGTAAGAGCCGGTAACTACTGGCAGAAGGTGAATGGCGTGAGGGCGAGTGGTGCTCGTAAATAACCCGAGGCCTCCTGGCGCCAGTGCCTCAGGGTGCTGTGAGGACACGCGAATTCCTTGGCCTTTGGCACAAACCACGCTCCTACCCTCGCGAGGGTTGTCCACAAAAATCGGATTCGTTACCTTGTATGCAGCAAGCCAACAATTGCACACTCGAGAGAGACATTGATTGTTTATTTCACAGTTGTGCAAGGCTGGGTGACTGGTGGAATTTCACAAATCAAGCACACCAACTATCAAAACTTTTTTACTATTTATGCATTTTAGCAAACAAAGGAATTAGTGTTCCTTTGCTGCAAGTTACATAGTAGTCTTATTACTTCGTATCCTGTCTTCTATTGGTTAATGATTCCATCGCTTCTCATGCCAATTAGTCCACATGCTCAGTCTCTCGCTTTTGGATGGGTGGGTTACTTGGGTCTGTGGCTGTGAGTCTGCGGTCGTGCTCTCCCGTTGCCAGAATTACCTTTTACCCAGTCGGAGTGGATTCCGCACGGTTGCTGAGTTTGCTTTGTTAGTTTCTTCCTTATCTTTGGAGTTCTGCCAAATGTCTTTGTGGACCCTAAATTCTGCATTTTTTTGTATCCACTATCAGTGATACATCCTTCTTCTCAAGCTTTGTTAACCTCCCTCTAGGTCTGAGATCCCTGAAGCATGTGAACCCTAAACCTTAAAGACGCAATTCTACCGCAAGTAATTTGTTTTTCTAACACCTGGACATCACTTAGAGCTTGTTAGCTGCTCTCTGTTTTGTGGATTAAATCTCCTTTCTTGATGTTTAGGCTTCAAAATATACAAAGATCGAACATCAAAGAACATCCTTTCTAAGGAAAATTTTACGTATACCGCATTGTACATCATGAGCGAAACACTAAATGCATATTTTTGTTTATTTTTCTGCATTTCTGTATATCCATCAACCAAAGCCACCTGTGAAACTGAGGTTAAAAATAAAGCCCAGAACTTTTAGTGAATATTTTTGTCACCTTTACAGAAGATATTTGTAATTGCAGAATAAATAAAAAAATAATAAAATAAATCAGTGGTAAGTTTCATTGTACCGTGCCAAAATGTCAAATGGAGACTAGGTCTAAACTTTACACTAAATATTGCAGCAGAAACTGTAAGATAAATCTTACACCAGAAATATATTTTGTCAGTTTTGTTGTCTTTCAGTGTTAGATTTTGTTTATTCTCTTGTTTTGTGTCCAGAAAAAGGAGAATAAGAAATACAGAATTTGTTTTCTGTACACATGCTACAAACTAAATGTTTAAATATTACAGGTTAGGAGCAACATGGAAAAAAATGTGACTGTATTAAAGGTTATAATTCTGAGGCTATAAGGATTCATTTGATTCAATTGCTGAGGTTTTTTTCCTATCAAAATTACTTGCTTGGATGTTGCTGTTATTGCAGAGTTTTATCGGTTGTTTTGCATGGATACTAACTCATTGTTAAATCCGAACTGTCACTAACTTCTTTTTTTTGTTTGGTTTGTTCTTTTTTACTACTCCATAGCATTTTAGTAGCTCTTCACAGTTTTAATCAACATTTACATGAGGGACGTGGTAATTGTAATTTAACCAACTCAATCTCCTGAGTAGTTCGGCTGACCTTTCTAAAGTATTGAAGTATTTAGAGCTGGTTAAATTGCTGGAAACTTTAAATGAACTCACTTTCCTTAACAAAGCAGACCCTCTGTGTTTCCCTCCAACGGCTAATGATTTAAATAATGTTTCCATTTTGATACTCTTGTTATGTATGTTGCAATCATTGAAATTTGTAATTGCCTCATTTTTTTATTCTGACAGCTGAATTGATTTTCTTGTTTTCTTTGCAGTTTTGCATTACTAAGCGATCTAAATATGGTGTTTTGTTGTCTGTATTATAGATTTGTTAGTAATTACATTTTAAAAGAAGGCAATATCTGCATTTAAATTACTGTTTAATTTTCTCTTGTATAATAAGTACAACTGTTGTATTTTAAAAGTACAGTACATTCTCAATAGTCTCCAGTAATAGAGTAGTTTGTAGACTCAAATCTGACTTAAAAAATAAATATGCATTAGGCCTTTATTTCCTTAATAACAGCATGGGTGGTTTGTAGAAGGATATCTGGAGTGGAAGAAACATACACAACTAACTTCATTACAGTTTTGCCTTCTGTTTTCTCTGGGGTCTGACTTAGGTAATGGACTTAGTACTTGTCTTATTTTTATTTATAAAAGGTGGTTGGATCTGATAATTGAAAGAAAAATATTTCTTTAGTGTCTCTCAGGTGCAAAGAGAAAGCATTTTCTTCTACTGTATTTCAAGTAATCCTGTGGTACTGTTGACTTTCAATTTTGATTTTCAGTGAGAGGAATCGCTTGTATATTTCTGTTGGAAAAGAACTTTACTTTGCTATTTCCATTTAGAAACAACTGGACAGCCACTATGTTTTTATTTTAACAAGTAAGTTCTTGGTCCTTAAATGAAATATTGTGACTAAACATTTTTGTGCTTCAGGCTGAAAGTACCTTCAGTGAAGAGGAGGAAGAAAAACTTCAAATAGCTTTTTCATTGGAAAAGCAGGATCTTCATCTGGTTCTTGAAACTATATCCTTCATTTTAGAACAGGTATTTTGTTTTCATCCTTATGCATTGATAAATGTATTTTTCTATCCCACATTAGATTTTGAAAATATAAAAGTCAAGTTAAAAATTAATTAGTGGAAACATATATCTGTAGTATATTATATATGTGCTGGGTTCATGATTTTACTGCTTTTGTTTTCATGCCTTCCTGATTTGGATGGGACTAATTGCCTTTGTGGATTGATTTTCCAGCTAATGTAGATGTTATTGGTAGAAAGGAGGTCTGCATGACTCCAAGAGAAGTGATGGTAATTATGAGATATAGTTTTCCCTCTTCTTCATTGTAAATAAGTCAGCCATTTTCTTGTAAGGAAAATACTACGTAACATTATTGATCACTGCTTAAGTTGCCTTAAGATTCAGTTATGGAAAACTTTGATGCCCAGAAGCAGCCTGTACTGAGGTGAACAGACACACCTCATGCAGCTCTAGTGTTTGGAGGAGTGGATGACTGCATGATGTAGAGCTAAATACCTTTTAAACAGAGAAGGTTTTCTAATTCTGCAGTCTGCCTCTACTAAGGTTGGGAAGCCATTGTATTATGTGGTAAATATGTTAACTGTCTTAAAAATCGTCACACCCATGATATTTTCTGTCCATTTCCTGTAATTATAGAAACTATAGTCTGTGCCAGGGGAACACATAGTGATGGTCTGTTGTGGGATTTGAATCTGGTCTTTCTTACACGTCAGTTTATGATCACTACACTTAGTTGACACATTCCACTGCTTTAGAAGGAAAGCAAACAGTCTTCCCCATGGCTCCTACCGACCAAAAAAATGAAAATGAGACCTGAGATCTCCTCCAGACTAAAATTTTGAATTTTCATCTCAGCAAAACATCAGACTTGCCTGTTTATTGCCTGGTCATTATTTCATCAGGTTGCTTAATTTATATTATAATCATTGAAGATGAACAGAAAAAGCAGTTATTCTCCTCTAGGACTTGCTTCTTTTGCATTTAAAAAAAAAAAGGAGTCCCAGATGGACTACATGTATGTGAACACATGTATGTGTTCTTGCTGATAGCTGTGCTTCTTAGAGCTACTTGTTCTGTCAGGGTGTGGTGGTTTGGGCTAGGCCTTCCTTGGTGACCAGTTTGTAACCAAGGAAGGGTCCAGATTTACCCAGTATTCCCTATGATTTTTATGTAAGCTGGGCTATAAGAAGAAAGGAGGAGAGGCCTTCGGTCTCTTTCCTCCCGGCGGCTTGGAGGTGCAGGTCCCCTGCTGTTGAGTCTGCCGTGTTGGGGAGCGAGGCCTGGTTAGGCCTTGCCGACCTTGGGAGACAGAGGTTGCCGGCGATCGTTCCGGAGCGACCCTCGGTTGTCCCAGGAGAGTAGTGAGATATTTCTTTGCTAACTCTTTGTTAGATATTGGGTTACTAATTGGGATATATATATATATTTTATTTTGGTTTTGTTCCTTTTCCCTTCCCCCTTCCCTTTCCCTTGTGAAATTGTATATATTTCAATTGTATATAACTGTAACATAAGTGTAAATATATTTATATATATTTATATATATCACTTTAGCTGTCTCTCTCTCGTTTCGGGTTTTCTTAGTTGTTTTTTCTCCCTCTTCTCCCTGAGGTTTGGAGGGGGGTACTTCTTGTGGTAAGGTTTGGATACTTGGCAGGGAGCCAGCTTCAAACCATATCACAGGGCATAACTTTTTTAGCAGCCCTTTGGTCTATGGACACATTAGAGATAAAAGGACTTCTGTATGGTCTTTGCCACATGTGTTGTTTCTTTTTTTTCCCTGACCTGGTGATGACAGAGTCCTGTTTTGAAAGGGGAGACCAGCATACTATGCACCATGTGAAACACAAAAAAATGATGCTAATAGGGAGGTAATATCTGACTCCTTCAGTTTTGGTGAACTCATCTTTTTGGAATACGACTTCATAATTCAGGCTTACTTGAATAGTGTGAATTTGGAAAAGTTATCCCTTTTTTTGGTCACAATTGGCTTCAAAGCCCAGGTTTTTTTCAGTGATCACTGCTTTGGTATTATGTACAGTGGAAATCTGAACAAATACTCAGATTTCGCTTGTATGTGTGTTTTTTCATAGTTTGTCTGTCTTGAGAAGAGTTATTTGTAATGTTGCATTTTAAGATAGTTATGCTTTTCTGTCTTCTCAGTTAGAGGGTTAAGAAGAACAACAGGATGCTTGTAGTCCCCCAGTAGAGTTGTTCGTAAAAATCTTGTGTGAACATGGTGGCCATCCATGGTAGAACATGTCTGGAGTTACTTGTAGACCAGCGCTCAACAACAGCAGTTATTTTTCCTCTTAACAGGCAGTCTACCATAATTTGAAGCCTGTGTCATTGCAACAGCAGCTACAGAGCATTCACCTGGATCAAGACAAAGCCGAAGCATTTGCTACTGCATGGGCGGCGGCAGGTCAAGATACGATTGAAAAGTTCAGGCAGAGGGTTTTGACCCCTCAGAAGGTAATGTTTTTGTTGTTTGTTTGTTTTGGTGGTTTTTTGTTTTATTTTGTTTTGTTTGTTTTTCCTGAGAGAGAATAAAATTGTATTGGTTTGGTTTTAAGCAAAGAGTTTAAACTAAGATACAAATTTTGTGAGAAGCCAGCATACTTATTAGCAATGCAAAGTAGTGCAACCAACTCACCCTTTGGAGGTGTTTGTGAACAGGCCTTCAATAGGGCAAGGGTAAAATGCAGTCATGAACACTTGTGGTGGTTTAGCTCATCAGCCTGTTGATTCTCATTACTTGCATCTGAGCACCTGCCATCTTTAATTTTGTGAGCTTGTTGGATGGTGAATTTTGTGAGATACTTCTTACAATTTTGAGATACTTTTCTGTGGTGGCATGATAATCTTGCTTCCTGTGTGCCTATTACCAATTAAAACTTGCTACATGCTATGAAATCTCATTGTATCTTTAGCATAGATGTCTAGGTCTATGAGAAGGTATAATAACATCCTTTTGTTGATTCATAATAAGTCTTCAAATCTATAAGGAATTGTGTATAGAACACATAAGTGGCAGCCAAGACCAAATATTTGGAAAGAATTGTGGAACACTGACTCGCTTTTTCTTTCTTTATTTTTATCATTGCTATATATCTTGTTGAGATAAGATTAATTTTGTTAGTTTATGATTTTGTTAGTAACGTAGAAAAGGAATAGTTGTTCAATCATCTTGCCAAAGACTGAGGTGAGGCTGACTGACCTTTAGTTCCTGGGGTCCTACTTCTTACCCTTGAAGGTAGGAATGACATTTGCTTTCCTTAGGAATCTTGAAGATTGATGCGTGGTAGGGATGTTTGAATTTCTTTTGCTTGTTTGCATGGTTTTTTTAAGACTGATGTATTCATGCTCTGTGTATGGTTGATATTGGATTCATAATGAGGCTTTTTTTGGTCAAATGTACCTTGTAGTTTGGTATGTGATTCAGATTCCAGGAATATGGGAGTTATGGAACTGGATCAGAAAATCTGTTTGTTGGATGCCCTCTCTTCAGCACCTTGGATGAAAGCATAGGGGTGGAATCCTCCAGTTAACCTTGTTGATGGAAATTTATGCCTCACATTATGACTTAGAAGCTGTCTTGCACCCTCAAACATGATTATTTCTCACCCTTGCTTCCTGAACCTGGAGGTTTCAGTCTGTGTACTTGCCTGATTTTCTACCAGTTGAGGGAAAACTGATGTTTTTTAAAGCCCCTATATCCATTATCTTTTGATTTTAATGTATATCTCTTTTGTCATTGTGAGAAATACTAAACAAGAGTGTGTTTTTTATTTCAAACAACATAGTGTGAGATTTCTCACTCTCATTCCATGGAAGTTCCCTCCTTCTAATCCTTCACCTGTCTCTGACATACTTATGCTATATTTTGGAAGAAAATAACGTGAATAGGGTATGAAATAGACTTACTGGAATATTAATACTTTTTGTAGTGACTTTATAATAAAGGTCTACCTCAGAGAGAGGGACCAACATGACTTAAGGTCATGTTGAGACTGTGAGACTGTGTCACTGTCCACAATATTGTGGATCAGATCAAGTTAAGTGGTGAAGTTGGTAAGGTAGAGGGAAGGGGTGTCATCCAAAGGGACCTTGAGAGGCTTGAGGGGAGGGCCCGTGTAGACTTCATGAGGTTCTTAATGCCAAGTGCAAGGTCTTGCTCCCGGGTCAGAGCATCCCCTGGTATCAACACAGACTGGGGAGATGAATGTATTGAGAGCAGCCCTGCAGAAAAACAACTTGGAGGTGCTGGTGGATGAAAATTCTGATGTGAGCCAACTATATGGACTTGCAGCCCAGAAATCCAACTGTATCCTGGGCTGTATAAAAAGAAATGTGGCCGGCAGGTTGAGGGAGGTGATTCTGCCTCTCTGCTCCTCCCATCTGGAGTGTCAAATCCAGCTGTGGGGCCCCCAGCAGAAGACAGAGATGGACATCTTGGAACAGGTCCACAGGAGGGCCATTAAAGTCCTACAAGGGCAGGAACACCTTTGCTATGAAGACAGACTGAGGGAGTTGGGATTGTTCAGCCTGGAGAAGAGAAGGCTCCAGAGAGACATTATTGTAGCCATTCAATACTCTAAAGGGGCTACAAGAATCAAAAGGGGGCTTACAGGAGAGATGGAGAGAGACTTTTTACTGGGACAGGACAAGGGGCAGCAGTTTTAAACTGAAGGAGGATGGATTTAGACTGGATATAAGGAAGGGGGTGATGGGGGTGAGACAATGGAGCAGGCTGCTCCAAGAGGTTGTGGATGCCCCGTCATTGGAAGTGTTCAAAGTCAGGTTGGATGGGGCATTGATCAGTGTGATCTACTAAAAGATGTTCCAGCCCATGACAGGGAAGTTGAACTAGATGCATTTCAAAGGTCCCTTCTAATCCAAACCATTCTACAAGTCTATGAATACTGGTTGTTGGGGTTTTTTTCACTTTCATATTCTTTCAAAAATACATACAGGCTTTCTGGTTGTCACTAGCATATTTGGTAGGGACTTTTACTGACCTGGTAGAGACTTCTACTGACCTGTTCAGGTGGTGTGGAGAACTACATATGAATTTAGAACTCAGTTTCTGTGATTCTTTGGTACTTTCTCTTACCGTGTGCTTCTCTGTACACTTAGCAACTATGAATTTTCTTTTAAGCAGCTTTAATGGATGTGTCCATGGGATTGCTCATGTGGGTCCAAGTGTAGAATAAAGGTCATGATTAGTGTTACTGTGGTCTTCATAGTTCTGTTCCAACATGTGAGGATGTGCAGGGAAACTGTGTACAAGACAGAGTTTATGAAGTAACTAAGAAAGATCTTGGAATTTTATCATGTGTTTTACTAAAAACCATGTGGCAAAATAATCCTGAGTATCTTCTGACACCTGGTACTTACAAGTTGTCCATTTTGAAAGTATTGAAATGCTGGCACTAAGCCTATTTTCTGTAGTGTACACAAGAAGGACCAGGCAGTAATCTCATTGCTGTTTTAAGATAATAAAAAATGACAGATAGTTTTATTTTTTATTTATCAGGGGTATGGTTTACATACTGAGCAAACATTGGAACCTGTGCTCAGGTTTGGACTCAAGACCACTAGTTATTATGAGAAGTAATTTCTTACAGATAATTTGCCTGTATGGATATGTTATTTCTCTTAAACCAGATTCTTTTCTTGCCTATAAAGTAAAGGTTGTTAAAAAACAGTATTCTGAGTTCTGGGTATGTCAGTTCTGTGCAAGAGATGTAGGTGGTAGTGTGCTGGTTGATCCCTTCATTAGGATGGCAAATCAGATTGAGTTTGTTGGAGCAACAGAACAAGTATTTCCTAGAGTACTGATTAGTTGAAGATTTCTGTGGCATATTGGACACTAATTGTTTGAGAAAACCTGTTATTTTTTGAATGTAGGTCTTTTTTGTGCACACTGCTTAATAGATAGGGATATTTCTTACTCGAGGAATGAATAAAAACTGTAGAGTTAACCAAAAATTCAACAGTTTAATACTATTAGTTTTCTCACTTCATCTTTTCATTTTTCTTCACTGAGCTATTGGCAGTCTTCAGCTGCACGGGGTTATTAATTATGTATATTCTGCTGTGTTAATTGGTTCATTGAATCCTTATTCATATGGCAGTGTCTGTATGATATTATTTCTGCTGTATAATGCAGTCCTAGTCAATCAGAATGGTGGTATTTTTATTATTTTTTCCCTTTGAACACATTCTTAATTTGGCCTCTATAATGACAGGTGAGTGATAATATTCCAATATCAATCTGATTGAGTTTTTAAGTCTCTGGTTGGTAATATATCAGTTTAGAAATGAGAACACATTGATCAGATTACAATGTATTTTCTCCTCTCTGCATAGAAGAGATAGACTTTTAGTAGGGTTCACTCTGAATTCTTACAGCAATTTTTCATCAATTCTATTGTTTTTCTCCACTTCCCCCTTCCCCTATATTATGTTCTCTGTATGTTTTTTTGGTATTCTGTGCAAATCTCTGTTTTAAAGGCAGATCCAACTAAATGCCTCATACCTTTCTTGTTTTGGGAAACTATTCAGGGTATCCTTTAAATATGTGTCTTGAAAAAGATAAGAGTCTTATGTTGCCAAGCAAGAGAAGCTTTTTATAGCTTTCAGACAGCATTTCTTAATATAATGATGCGTGGGAATGCAACTAGTGAAATTATGTACCTAAAATTCTTGACAGAGCTGTCAATTCTGTATCTTGAGTGCCTGTTTGAAGCCATATGGGAAAAACTCTGAAAGTGGTTTTCTCAGAAACTGGCCTTCTTGCTAATGGGTGTATATGCAATGTTAATATGCTAAATTCCCTTTGCTAAAGGCTGGCAAATCTACAGAAATAGTCTGAAACACTTGCATACAGTGGTGGTTATGACAAAGAGAACTGATGTACTCTGTGTATGCATGTCGTGGCAGAAAATGCTTTCAGATATCAGAAGAATGCAAAATAGGAGGAATACAGCTCAAACAGAAAGAATCTTAGTTTCCTTGTTATGTCTGATCAGCTAGTCATTCTTACAGTGACAAGCAGAGGTCACGAATAGTGTTGTACCTATGGGCGTTGTCACAATGAATTGTGAACCCACTTACATTATATGATGCCGACAGAGACAAAGACAATGCAAATGATGAAATATGTACTAAAGACACAGCTTTGTACCTGCTGAGATTTATTTTAGTAGCCAGCTACAGCACAATTGAGTCTTATTCTTTTACTCAGCTTTGTAAGTAGGAATTTTAATTGTTTACAGTTTTTAGGTACTACTTGCGGATTTTTTAATGAGTTTCTTCCTCTCCTTGCCCTTTTCTGTCTTCTGAAAAAGGCTGAAATAAGATTTTGAGAATGTTTTAAAACATCTGAAACTTTTGTTCTGTTCCTACATGCAAAATACCGTCTTTTAAAGTTGCAAAAGAATACCATGCTTATCCTGTGTAACTTTCTG